GCGCGAGATGGTCCCTCGTGGGGGCAGAAGGCACACAGCATCCGGCGGGTGCCCTGGCCCCAGCGTGCCTCAGCAAAAGACACGCGTGTGGCCTGTGGCATGTCCCCCTTCCCCATAAAGCTTTTTTTAAAAACCCAGGCCATGCCACATTATGGAATTTGTCCCGGCCCCTTGCAAGACAGGTGTCTGCCCTGACTCTGCTGATGCAACAGCTCCCGACGAACTCGCCTACAGGGTTAGTGGGAGGCTGGGCAGTGTCTGCTGGTGCCAAGGTGGGGGGCACACCTGCAGGGCCCTCTCCTCCAGCCCCGTGGAGGCGACAGGCACGCGCCTGGTCCCGGCCACAGCAGGGCCTTGGTTCCAATTCCGGCTCTGCCAGCGGGGCCACCTGGCTTAACTACAGACCAGTCTCCTTATCTGTGAACACAGTGACAACGGTCCCTGCTGCCAGGGTCAGAACGGAGGCGGGAGAACAGAGGTGCCCGGGGCACAACGTTTAAGGAGGGCCTCGCCCTCCGCAACGTGCAGGTGCAAGGTCACCCTGGTAGCCGCCAGCCCATTACTGGCACTGTCCACACTAAATTAGAAACGACCTTGTGCAGCTGATAACAGTACTGTCTCCAATTCAAGGTGAGGGGCCTTGGCCTGGGGAGGGCGCATGCCTCCCTCAGGCTCCCACGCTGGCAGCTGACGGGCAGAGCTGGGACTCGAGCCCAGCCTGCCTTAAGGAAGAACCCATCCCCAAGTTCAAAGGCAGTTTCTTGAGGATCCTGAAGGGCAGTTGGGGAGGAAGCAAGAGGAACGGCACGTCTCCGATGGCCTGAAGCTGAGGTCCTGCCTCACAAGGAGAGAAACAGCCTGGGCCCGGGTGGGCGGCGGGTGTCGGGGCTCCGGGGCCTCATCGGACATCAGTCTCACAAGGTCAGCCCCCACACCGCCTGCCGGCCCAGCAGCCGCGTGGGTGGCCGCAACAATGCTACGAGCTCTCCTGGATCGGATTCCATCCTCCTGCTTGCTCTGGCTTTGCTGTCTCAGCCTGGGGTGATGGATGGGTTCCCCAAGTGAGAAGGAAATGGGCTGAAACCTCCCCGGCCAGAAGGAGGCCGTGCACCAGCAGCCCTGGGGGCTCCGTGAAGTGTGGGGCAGCTGGGCGCACAGGAAGAGGCGGGTCCCCCAGACCCCCAGTTTAACTGGGCCTCTAGGTCAGGAGCCGAGCGGGCCGGTCTCCGGGAGCCCTGCTCCTAAGTCCGAATGAGGAATCAGGTGTGGGTTCCAAGCCACCTCAGCACTGGGAGGGGCCTCAGGAAAGCAAGCGCAGGGGAGGGGAAGCAGAGAATGTTCTAGAAACTAGAGACGCCTCCCTGAATCTGTGCCCAGCACTGAAGAAACCAGCAGCGAGTGAGGAGTCTGGGCCCGAGGCGCTCACAGCCCTGAGAGCAGCAGCTACGGCAGCTCCAAAGAACACCTCCCGAGCAGGAGTTACGCAGGGAGCCGAACGCACACGCTTATATTAGTGCCATAAGGTGGGCTGCAGGTTCCGCCTGATGGTGTAGGAAGCCGAGGCCAGAGAAGTGAGGGCCAGCACCAGGCGCCCCGGCCACGCTGTGCTGAGGACCTGGGGTGCCCCAGTCTGGCACCCACTGCCTTTCCCACTGCCTTACAGGCTTGCGGACTCTTGTTAAGCAAGAGAAGCTCTCTCTTTCGATTTAGAGAAATCCAGTGTGTAAAGCAAATCCAAGGGGAGCTGAAGGGCCCGAAGTGGGGCTGCCAGAGCTCCGCCCTCAAGACGGGACAAGGTAAGTGCCTCCCTGAGGCAGGAGGGAAGCCGGGCACAGCTCTGCATGGACCGCCCGTGCGGGGCCTCACGCCCCCGCTGCACCTGGGCAGAGTTCGGACGGAGCACGTCTGCTGCACCACCAGGGTGGGGGCCCGCACGGTGCGCCCTGAGAAGCCCCGACTCAACCCTGTCTCGGGCCCGGAGGGTGTCTGTGCCCCGAGGTGCCGCTCCGCTCACTTAATACTGTGGTGAAGCACCTGCTCCGGGCTGGGCACTGGGTGAGGAGCAGAGGTGACAGTGATGTGTAACACTGCACGCGGTCCCCACCGATGCAGAGCCCGAGTCCACAGCCATTGGCAAACATTATCCTAGAGGAACATGGACCCCGTGCAGTGATCGGGACTATGGAGGAAAAGCTCAAGGTCAAGGGGATGCATGAGCAGAAGAACCTGATCAGTTCACCTCTGAAAAGGGCACCGATGAGCATTCCAGGCCACAGAGCAGCTTAGACCAACAGGAAAGGGGGTGGCCGGCTTCCCGGGGGAAAAGCCAAGGTCCAGGGACAGGCAGGGCGGGGGGGGGTGGTGGTACTGGGCTCTCCCTGCTCCCCAGGGGTTCTCTGGGCAGGTAAGAAACAGTACGTTGTCCCTAGGGCCAGGAGAAGGTACCTGGTCCTATAGAATCTTTACATTACTCAACCCCGACAGGGACAAAGAAAATCTTTCTAAGGGTTGGATTACTGCAAAAGTAGGGTTGGCGCAATGAATAATGAGTAAGTGAAAACAATTAAAACCAGACGTCATTAAGCAGATGTAATATGTCCACAAAGAGCCTCATCTAAATCCACCTAGGGCTGGGCTACACATTAGAAAGATCTTTTCCGCTCCTACTCCAGGCCTGGCCCGGCTCCCACAATCATTTATTTAGCAAACATTGAACGAACACCTGGTTGGGCAGAACACCAGCTTCCAGCGCATGCCTGGCGCAGAGCCAGGGCTGTGTAAACAGCCTGGTGCCCTCTGTGGGGTGGGGGGACAGGATCCCCTGGCACCTGCCGTGGCCGCCTCCCCGAGCCTCAGCTACAGACAACTCAGGCCTGCAGCAGGTCAGAGAAAGGTCCCCAGCGCGGGTTCCCATGAAGCACTGTCCGAGTCACGAGGCCTTCAGCCCCTGGGGTCTGTGAGGAGAGAGGGGGCTGTCCCGTCCGGCTGGTTTCTCCGCAGGGCCCGGCACTTCTTCCTGCTCACTCAGCTTCGATGCCACCTTCCCGGCGGCCCTGCACCAGCCCCTGGGCGGTGTATCCCGTCCCTCAATCTCCCGTCCTCTTTCTCATACACACACCCACCCCCACACACACGCCTTTGCACGCTCTCTCTGACTCACTTTCTCACACTCACCCTTCCTGCGGCGTCACATGTCCCTGTGCCTTCCCCCTGCTCTGGCGCTGCCTGGGGGGCGCAGACCCACCTGTGCAGAGCTGCGTCCAGGGGTGTCTGCCCCTGGCCCTGCAGCGGGTCGGCCTGGGCACACTCTTTAGACCCATCTCGGTCCCTGACCACTCCCTCATGTCTGGTCACTGCAGCACCCTCCGCAAAGGGGCTCCCATCTCAGCAGCCTGGATCCTGGTGACAGTGCTGGGGGCGGACAGGCAGGAGGTACGGACACATCTGACACACGAGGAAGCGCAGGCCCAGGGAGCAAGACCCAGGTTTCCTAACTCCGACCCCAGCTCTTCCTGCTGCACTTCCGGGAAGCAGAGACTAGCACAGGGTGCTGCGTGTCACCCCTCACCCCGGAGATCCTGAAGTTGTGGCACTGGAGATATGGGACGGGGACCCTCAGTCCGTCTGGGAGGACTGAGCGGCAGGACTTCGTGTGGCCTCCTAAGCCGTCCGCACTCTCCTCCTCCCCTCAGTCCAGCATGCTCGGGGTCTCCGACATTTCTGCCCGGCAGCTGACCCTCAGCCTTGGGCATTCAGTCCACCTGGGCTTCCTGGAGGAGGAGGGCCCCACTTCAGAAGGGCACTGGGACGAGACAGGAATGACAAAGAGCCCAAAACAGAAGATAAGCAAACTCTCACCATCGCCGCCACCCACAGCTGCCTTTCAATCCAGTGCAGGCCAGACCGTGGGGCAGCTGGGAACCCGGGCTGCGCCATCAGAGCCGGCCACACACAGCCGGTCCTCTTCACCCACCTTCGAGTGTTTTAACGTCCTGCCCAAGCTTCGCGGGCTCCCTCCTTCCCCGGCCCCCTGCCTGCTGCCTCCAGGGCCTCTCCACCCCCTCCCTGCCACCTCACATCCTGAACCAGGGCGTGAATATTTAAAGACATTTTTTTCAGCCAGTGAAGCTACGTCACGCTGTTGCTGCCCCCCTTTAAACATGATCCCCAGAAAGTTTGCCAGAGTGTCTCCAAGCACCTCGCCCGCCCTGGTCAGGGGGGAAGATGGGGCTGCAGAGGCAGCGACAGCCCCTGAGGTGCAGCCTCCCCTCTGCCCTGGGGCTGAGTACCAGGCACACAGTGCCAGCTTTATCACAGCCACCCCTTCTGGGCCGCCGGGCAGGTAGCCCTGCAGACTGCCTGCCACCCCGGTTCTCAGAGCAGTGGGGGAGACAGACACCAGCACAGGCAGGGGACACTGAGGGACAGGGATCCACAGAGGCAGAAGCTTGACCGCAGCCCCAGAAACACAGCCCTCTCACTGAACCGGCGAGAGACAGCTCCCGGTGCATCAGTCCCAGAGCCCTCGGAGCCCGAGTCCCCCAGTGCACGGAGGAGGACCAAGGCCCCTGGCCGCTGCCTGCTGGCCCCTCGTGCATCTCCGTTCTGCAGAGTTACTCACGGCCGCCGTACCAAATCCCTCTGATCAACAACACACAACACTCCACCGATAACTTCTTGAAACTCGACTCACGGCTAAGCAGCACGCAGCGCTCTGGGAAGGGTTCTCTTCCCTGCTGGCCTGTAACCAATCAGCCACACGCCACCAAATCCGTTTCCAAAGTTCCAGGCAATTAGAGCCAGCTGAGCTCCCTGGCCTGGTGCCCGCCTGCTCTGAGCCAGGACCCAGGTCGTCAGCAACCCCAAATCCCAGCCTCCGACTTCTCCCAGCCTCCTCCGAGACTGAACACACCAGAGCGGCTGCGCTTGCCACACCGAGGCTCCCTGAGCAGCCAGATCACATCAAGACAGAAAACGAAGGTCAAGGCCAGGCTTCCTACCTTTGCTGAGGGTCCCGGTGATGAGCTTAAAGATGGTCTGGGCAAATTTCACGAACCCAAGCTTGCACCTTTTGGAGCAGCCGCTCATGGTGGTGGCAGAGGGAACACGGGCTCTGCTGTCAGTACCCAGAAGGGAAGGCGTCCACGTCCCGTGCCCCCTGAGCCCGGAGCCCGCCCGGGTGAACCCTGAGGCAGGGACGCACCCCAGAGGCTCCCGGAACAGCACAGCTGTCTCTGCAGTGAGTCTGGCTTCTGCATCCAGAGAGCCTGCCGGGCACGATGTCGGCTCCCTTCCTCCGTCCTTCCCTCCACTCAGGTCCGACCCACAGGAGGACCTCGGGATGCCAGGGTTCGGACAGCGCTGCTCGGCACGGGGCGCGCCGAGGGCACCGAGGAGGGGAGTGAAGCGGAGCAGAGCGGGGAGGGAGGAGCTGGCGCTCTCCCAGGCTTTGCTGACTGTCTTTCTTACATGGCAGTGGTAATGTAGCAATTAATACTCCCGTCAGAAGGGAGGGGACTGCTACGCCAAACACTCAGCTCCGCAGCTTCTCCGCCTGGCTCTCCTGCTCTCTCCTCGCCGGTTAATGCCACCGATCAATTTTCCGTGCCTCCGTCGGGGTCTGGGGGAACTCCCCGCAGAGCAGGAAGCTGCTGCTAGGCACTCAGCGGAAAGTTTGCGGGGCGTCCTCCGGGGGGGCCTGGTTCGCATCACGGGAACTTGGACTGAGCGGCAGCGCCCACACTAGGGGCTTTCTCCCGCCTCTGACAGCCTCTGGCTCCAGCTGCTCCGACTGGGAGTCCGCCACTCCGCTTCCCCTGCCATCCCTGCAGAGCAGGCAGGAATCTGGGCGCTCTCATCAGGACAGGAGAGAAGGGCGATCAGGGCGTTTGCTGGTGGAGAAGGGAGTCCTCAGATGAAAAACGAATGCCCAGCATTCCCACGATCTGACTACAGAGCAATCCTCCTTGGAGTAAAAGTGCAAGGCAGTGTGCAAACGCAAAGCCCAGCTACGGCTTCACAAACGGTCCGGCTGCCGTTCAGCACCACAGACTGGGAGGGCTGCCAGGGACCCCCTCACATCCCTCCTGGACTCGGGGCATTACTGTCCTTCCAACGGTCCTCAGGGGCCCTCACCCCAGCACCGTGGGACCATGCACTGTGGCTCCCTGGGAACAGCAGCTAAAACACACCCTGGGAAGGTCTTTCTCTTCCTCCCTGTCAGCTGGTCTCCATCACCTCCCTCTCCGGGCTGTCTGAGAGGGGTGGGCTGCTTAAGGGCCAGAGAATAGAGGCTGCCCACTGGCAAAATATCAGAGGAGCTGGAATTTGTGCTCCACCTCTGGTTTCTCGCCCAGCTTCCGTGAGGTAGGAGGAAGTGTATCTTGAAACAAACTTCCCTTTTGGGGGGGTCACCACCAAATTTCAGCTTCCAGAACAGACCCCGCAGACAGGCTCCAAGCACAGAGCCCTCCTCCCAGCCCACGGTGGCCGGGTCTCCTTGACGTACCAGCACACGTCACAGCGTACAGTGTCACAGCGTACACAGTGTCACAGCGTACACAGTGGGCAGGAGCCCGGGCAGGAGGTACCCATCGTGCTCGGTGTCTTGGCTGTGGGAACTGCCACATGATTCGCTCACTGTCTTGAGGCATCGAGGGCCCAGTTAAGATGCGCGTGGTGTCTGGGGCTGTACCCGGCACTCGGTCTGTCACCCGGCGGTGGCTGCCTCCAGTTCGACGCCACCAGGAGCCCTTCCTGTTGGGTATTTTCTTCCTCAGGGGCGACCGTCTTTGGTTCAGTTACTCCCAGATCCAATATTTACCAAGCTCCCAGTCCGTAGAAAGGAGCTGAGCAGCCAGGGTGCAGGAAGCACCGAGCGCCAGGATATGGAAAACGCCGCGTTCGGCCAACTAGACAGACGTGGTCAGTGCCCACGCTAAGCCCTTGTGGCCGATCCGTGTATCCGATGACCTCTGTTCCCTCTGCAGCACCTTAGTGGGCAGGCAGGTGTTCAGAAGCAGAAGGAAAGAACTGGTCACGGAGCGCCAGTTGGCAGGCGGGGACTAGGCACAGGGCAGCACCGCCCCGGTGCTGAGGAGGAGGAGAAAGATGAGGGAGAGGAGGCTTGGCAAAGGCAGGGGATGCCGTCTCCCCTGACGCTGGTCGTTTCACCGAACAGCGGCTGCCTCCGAACGGGAGAACCCACTCGGCAGGACCTGGAACTCTCGACGAGGCGCAGCCGCGTCTCTCCCCATGTCACGCGAGAAGGAGACACTGAGAATCCATGAGCCCGCAGAGACGATGGCGGTGACGTCCGTGGTGTTAGCTGACCCCGAACCGGGTCTTCTGCCTGGGAACCTGGCCGGGAGTCCTGCGGGAAGAGCGGTTCCCAGCAGCACCTGTGTGGGGGAGACAGGAGACGTCTGGGGGGGTCTGCATTGGGCTCCCAGCTCAGGAATCCCAACATCTGAACTGCTGGGGGGGGAGAACAGTGGCACCTGTTGCTCGAGGGTCCCTTTGCACCTAGTGTTGAATCGCTGGCTTGCTCAGTCTACACGTGTGTAATGCACTCATATAAACACACCAGCGCCGTGGCCTCCGCCCCAGTGCCGAGCACATGGTGGCAGACCAAGCAACGTTCCTGGGCTTGTGGCGCTCACATCGGAGTACGGTTACGTCGGTGACTGTGTCTATGGACAGGACTGTGCTTGAAGGAAAAGAAAGCCTAGTGTGACGGGCTCCTACTTCCCAGGGCCATCGAAAAAGCCTTCTCTATATATAAAAACGACACTTCAGCGGAGACCCCAAACCTGCCCTCCAGCTCTCGGGGGTGCTGACTGCTCGGGTGGAGGGAACAGCAAGCGCCAAGGCCAAAGGCGGCCTGGGATTCCGAGGTCTGCAATTAGCAGCTGCTGAGTGAGCAAGGGAGCCTCAGCTGTGTCCTTCTGAAAAATGGGGATAATGACCCTCACCTCACGGGACTTGGCGGGGTGGGGGTCCCCGCCAAGTAAATGAAATCACTGGCTTAGTATCGGTGGCAAAGGTCATACCGCTGCTCTTCCTGCAGCCACTGTTGGTGGGGATGCCACCCCTGCCTCTGTCCCCTACGACAATCCCACAAGTAAGCAGTGGCCGTGTAGGCGAAGCTTCAGCATCACCAGAAATCCCAGGGCTGAGCTCCAGTGTTGAATCTCCCTTAGTAGTAACTCAGACATTAAGCATTTCACATTCCCCTCCGATCTCACAAGGCACCACGAGTTTGCACTCGGTCCTAGATAAACGACTCAGGCCCAGAGAAGGTCAGCAGCATCCAGAACATCACAGGGTGAAATCCCCAGAAATGTGGGCAAGCTGTTTAGTGTGCCAAGGACATTCTGGGCAAAGGAGGGCGAGTTGTGCCAGTGGTAAATCTGTACTAGGAGAATGCAGGGGAGCACTGTTCTCTGCTCGAGGCACGTGAAGGACAGGAGAGCTACCGCGTGCTAAGGAAGCATTCAGGGGGCACCGGGGAGACCAGGCTGTTAGCAGGTTTGTAATTAGCCTCCCGTCACAGATGTGCAGCAGTCAAGGGGGCCTGGGAAGGCAGAGTTCTCTCCCTGCTTGGAACCATCTATCGGAATCTTTAGCTGCCAGATCCAGGGGAAGGAGAGGCAGGTGGGGGCTCCAGATGGCCTCTGGGCCCAGGAGGGTGCAGTGGCCCCTCTGAGTACAAGGCTAGGAGAGGACAAGCCTGCTGTTCTCTGGAAGGTTGAAAGGCTGCCCTTGAAATAACAATGACAGCAGAACCCACTAGGAGCCTTGTCCGGGCAGGTCTGAGTACAGTACCTACTTTCCACGTATCTAATCCTTACGTTAACCCTAAAGAGGCTGAGACTGTTACGTTACCCAACTGCAGAGGCGGAAGCAGGCCCAGAGAGAGAAAGTGACTTGTCGATGGCCACACAGCTGAGGCTGAATTTGAATCCGAGACCATTTGACATTTGACTTTAAAACCATTTGAACGTAGCATGTTATCTCACAGGGTTTGGCGTTCAAGCAGCTGGCAGCTTGGGGGAGAAAGAGTTTGGCTTGAAAGTGTAAGAAACAGGCGGCTGCACATTATGGCCATAACCTCCCTGTCCCTGGAAGCATTGCGGAGAGAGCACGGAGACATCCGTCCTGGCAGGAGCTCCCTCCCTGGCCACTGGGGGGGGGGGTGCGGGGGAGGGGAGGGGCATGGCCAGGCACAGATGCAGTCACCACAGCCAGAGCCCCAAGCCCACCGGCCACTGAACAGAGATTCACGTGTGAGGCCTTGTCCAGCAGGCGCTGGAAGATGAAAAAGGCTAAAAGGGGCTCTGAAGACGCAGAGGTGGTGACCGCAGGGGCGACCCCGCGCTCAGGTGTGTGGCGGGCGGGGAAGACACGGAGGAAAGAACTGGGATCTCTGAACCGCCATTCCTGCAGGGGCCCCCGGGGAGGCTAAGACCCTGAGGAGGAGGTGCTGGCTGGTGAGTGCTGGTCTCAGTTCTCAGTGAGGCGGAGCCACGATGCTGATTCTGGGAGTTTAAAAATCCGTAGTGGACACCGGAACCAATTGCCTAGGCAGGCACGTCCTGCCAGACAGTGTGGGGATCTGACACCAGCCGGAAGCTGCCTGGAACACGGTAGCTACACAGGTGCCTACATCCCCCCTCCCCCGGCAGGCTGTCTGGGGGCTGCTGGAAGGCAGAAACTCGGCTCACAGAGTCCCGGCCCAGCATCACCGAGCAGCGTGCAGAAGGCACCTTCGAAGCTGGCGGTCAGGAGCCTAACAACCAGCCTAGTCTAGGTGTCTCCCCTTCTGAAATGACAGAATCCCACTATGTGCCAGGCACTGGGGACAGGCCAGCAAATGAGACAAAATCCCTTTCTTGCAGAAACTGCATTTTAGAGGTAGAGTCAGGGGGGAGGGGTGCTGAGACCATAAACAAGCACACAGACTCACAAGGGACAGGACTTCAGAGCACGGAGCTGCTGTGAAACAGTGACCCGTGGGTGTTTTCCAACCAGCAGGACCGCGGCCCCTCGGAGCTCCCTGAACCACCAGTAAGAGGAAAAGGGCAGATTCCATGACGGGGTCGGGGTGGGTCAGGATCACTATGAAAATAATAACTCTGACAAGTTAAATGCCATCACCAGACGCGCTGCTGGGTGCTGTGTGTGGATCGACCTGTTCCTATAACAAACCCATGGAGTGGGTACGACTCTTCATCAAACCCACTCCACAGACGAGAACGTGGAGGCTCAGTCAGATTTGGTGACTCGGCCCAGGGGAGGCGGGCGGATTGAAGGGCCTGGTTTGAGGAGAGTCTGGGGAGGGGAGGGAGTCAAAGCCACCGGCAGCTCTGGAAGCAGCACAGGAAAGGAATAAGGAGGGTCAAGTCTGGGGACAGAGATGGGCGCAGATTTCCTGTGTCCTGGGGAGAGAAGCAGCCAGCTGGTAGGTGGAGATGGAAGTGAGGAGAGACGGCAGGAGCCAGAATTCTCATAAATAAATGATTTTTGTGGCTGCTCAGGAAGAAAATAAATGTGGTATCCCAGCAGGCCAAAAATATTAGCATTTAAATGCACGCTTACACAGGTGGGTAAAAAGGCAATTTCCTAGGAATTAAACCAGATTTGATCTTCTCTCTGAGCCTTAGGAAAAAACCACCCTGTTCCAGTGTGGTCTTCAGGGAGGCCTCGCCCTGCTCTGGAGGCACCGGCTGCACGGCTCCCCGGTTCTTTCGTGGCGGGGCACCCTGTCCTCTCCCCTCTGTGGTTCTGGGAAAAGGATGCCCTGGAGCCGAGAGAAAGGCATCAGCACTGCTGGCTGCAGGCGCTTAGGCCCACCTGTGTCGGGGTCTCGGTGCCCCTGCACCCAGCCTCGTCGGCGGGTCCCCAGCCCTCGGCTGGGGCTGGAAGACCAGTTCCGTTTTTGCGACAGAACTGGCAAGTGGCTGGTGGGAGTGCAGCTGCAGGGGCCTCCAGGGAAAACATGGCGAGACACCGAGCTGGTCCTTGAGGCCACCCCTTCTCCATCCGCTGCCCCCGCACGCTTCCCTCCTGCTACCCGCCGACATGTCCTGCCCCGTGCTAGCTTCTCCTGCCCCTCTGTACCCTGTGCTCAGAGCCAGACTTGGCCCTGGAGCGCCATGGGGTCCCCTTCACTGTGTCATCATGGAATGAGAAGAACCAGTTTAAACTGGACACCAGAGGCCATTGGTAGGATTCTGGCTGATGCCCAGAAAGCCCCAGGAGACAGACCAGGTCATGTCTGGCGGCTGCTTCTCTTCCTCCCAGAGTCACTGCAGGTAGGACACAGCCCCGCCAAGGGCAGCGATGAGGGCCGCCGCTGCGATTCTCAGACTCCGTTGACTCCCGGGTACTTTTTCTCCTCCTGCTTTCCCGTCCCAACACACCTGTCCTGTGTCCTGGTTCCTCGGGCCCCGCTCTTGACAATGGCCCAACCAGCATCTCCCACATTCTCTAGCTCGACAAACCACACCCTCAGCCTCCCAGGACACTCTAGTCTCAATACTTGGAGCTGCCCTTGACTCTTGCCTCATCCCCGTCCCCTGCACCCGGTATTAGTTTCCTGTGGCTGCTGTAACAAGTCACCTCAAACGAGGTGCCTTAAAGGCACAGAAGTTCAGTCTCTCACAGTTCTGGAGGCAGAAGCCTGAGCTCACGGTGTTGCCAGGGTTCTCCTGGAGGCTCTGGGGCAAACCCAGCCCGTGCCTGTCTCCTGGCCGCCTGCGTTCCTTGGCTTGTAGACACATCATCCATCCCAACCCCGGCCTTAGTCTTCACGTGGTCTTCTTCCTTCCTGTGTCTCCCTTTTCTCTTCTTACAAGGACAACAGTCACCGGAACAGGGCCCGTTCTACTCCAGCTCGGACTCAACTCAATTTCATCTAATCCCGTGTGCAATGACCCTATTTCCAAATACGATCACATCCCGTATTCGTCCAAGGTTCCCCTCTCTCTATCCAAGTGATCACCAGCTCCGGTCACGTCTGCTTCCTTCGCGTCTCTCACACGGACCCATTCCTCACAGTAAACCTGCCTCGTCAGGCCCTCACCCCCGGCCCACCCAGGACTCCCCCTGCTCTCCCGGCGAAGCCCAGGCTGCGCTCTGGAGGCCCTTCGGGCTGCCACCCCGGTCTATGCTCCCAGCTCCTCCCACACGGGACAGACCACCATGCTGATTCGCCCATACGTGGGGACCCCGTCGTGTGTCCACCTACTGTCCTGGCTTCCCCAGACAGAGGGGACTCCAGGACCACTTTCGGTGCTAACCTCAGAGCAATGCGGGGTCCCTCCATGGGGACCACGCACGCGGAGCCCCCGCCCAGAGCAGCTGCCTCTCCCCCAGCAGTGGGGACGAGAGTGGGAAG